TCAAAACAGATAGAAAATATGGTAATGGTTATGGGAAGAGGTCTATCAGTTATTAAGAGATGTGCAACATTTCTACCACAGTATTGCATCTCTCAAATTGTGCAAACAATGGTTCTTACTTGTTTAGACTACTGTCCAGTGGTGTGGTCGAGTACATCAAGTACAGACTTGGAAAAATTACAGTTAGTCCAGAATAGAGCTGCACGACTTACTCTGAACTGTAATAGACGGGTTGATATTATGAGAATGCACAAAATTCTAGGTTGGCTACTTGTGAACGATAGGACAATTGTTTCTCTGCTTTGTTTTATAAGAAATATTTCAGTGTCTAGAGTTCAAAGTGTACTGTACTGTCAACTTTTGTATAGTAGTGCTGGTCATAATTTTAACACCAGGCATGCATCAAAAGGATATTTTTTTGCTTCCTGTTTCAAAAACGAATGCAAAGCAACAGACTGTAATGTATAGAGGAATGAAAATATGGAATGATTTGCCATCGGACATTACATGTTTTTTAATAAGTAAAATGAGGTTTAAAAAATCTAAATAAAGAAATATTTAATGGCACAGTATACAGTAAATTGTTGATTTTGATGTTCTGAATGAATTTTGGGTTTGTATGTTTTATTGTATTGGTTTTTATTGTTATGGATTAATGTAATATTGTTTTTTACTTGTTGGACCCCAGGAAGAATAGCCACTACCTTGGTAGTGGCTAATGGGGATTAGGGCTGCATGATAAATCGCATGCGATATTTAACGCGCATCCGCATGCGATTTATCGTGCAGCCCTAATGGGGATCCATATAAATAGTAACACTCAAGTCACCACATCCACCTATTCAAATTCAAAAAGATTCAAAGTTTGAAGGTTTACTAGTTGGAGGTTGTATTCAACAAGTCTGTGACTTGAGGCTATGAAACCTGGAGTCTAAATCCTATCCGCTACCTTGTATCCCAGAGACATTGTGTCACCTCTTGGCACAGGTTTCCCAGGTAGGGACTCTCCAGTTTCAGCTCAGGAAAGCAAGGGTCGGGTTTCACACCATAGTCGTCATCTGTATTCTTTTTATTGTGTTTCAAGACACTGTTATCTTTTGAAATTTGAATCACCACGACGGGCTACTGGGAAGCTGCTTGGTTTGATCGGACCAATGGCCTTTCAAGATAGCGTGCTGCTAGTTAGAAAGAGTTTTGACTCAATTGAGTTTTTGCATGCTGACAGATGAGGGGGATGGGGGGTAATTTGGAACAGAGAGCGTCAGTAAAAAGTCTTCTGATGGTCACGCTTTTCACCGCAATCTATAGATCGCTTCTACTTTACTGCCAATATAGTTTTAGGTTTCTAGCAAGCTAGATTCTATTTAGTTAAGATATATATTAAAAAATACCATCACAAACCCTAAATGTGCCTGATTTTGTGGCGTGTAACAGTTATGGCATATCACTATGAGCTCCAGAGTGGACACATGAGACACTATATTGCCTAAGGTGACGAAATTCACACCAAGCTCACCCTTCACCTCTTCCCATGCTGCACCTGCCCCCCTCACTGCACAAAAAGTCCCGGCTTTAGACCTTTTGTTTCTTTTCTTTGTTTCTCATCACATAAAACGACAGTTGTGACGCCCTCTAACTTTATTGGGCTGTTGGTTTACATGAGGCCATTCATTCCTTCTTTCAGTTCACAAGGAAGGAATGTGAATAAAATCAATATTCAGTGGTGTTCAAAAACCACTAAAAAATGCTACTAGAAAATGCTAACACAAGCTAAATTATGTGAATCAACTATTAACCAACAATTTATGAACAACAGATTCTCACACAAGTAAACAAACAAGTAAACAGACATTGCTTGTCGCACAAGTAAACAAATTTGTTCATAAACCATTATTTGTTGAATTAGTAAAAAAATACAATAAAATTGGTGGGTAATCCATTGCTTGCCACATAACAAATTCACTAATAAACAATTGTTTAGTGCAAGAGTCAATTAATTTGTTCATAAACTATTGCTTGTTAAATGAGTCAATTTTGCTTACATTATGATTTGTTTGTCCAAGAAAACAAACTTGTTTATAAACCATTGTGAATACACTATATAACCTATTGCTTGTCGTGCAAGAACTGAAATTGGCTTATTAAGCATTGTAAATTCACCTAAAAATGTTGCTTGTTGCTCATGTACAGTATACAAAATTGTGTATAAACCGTTGCATGGTTCACAAGTGAACAAATTCACTTTTTGCTTTTCGCACAAGAAATTCACTTATGAAGCATTGCAAGTTCACTTAAAATATGTTGCTTGTTGCACATGTAAACAAATGTGTGTATGAACTATTACATGTTGCACAAACAAATTCACTTATGAACTGTTGCTTGTCGCACAAGTAAATAAATTAGCTTACAAAGCATTGCAAATTCACTTAAAAAAAAAACATTGCTTGATGTAGATGTAAACAAGTTTGTGCGTGAAGTGTTGTGTTGCACAAGTTAACAGATTCACCAAACTGTTCTTTCATGTACAAGTAAATAAATTAGCTTAAAAAGCGATCTACATTCACTTAAAAATGTTGCTTGTAGCACATGTAAACAAATTTGTGTAAGAACTGTTGCACAAGTAAACAAATTCACTTATAAACTGTTGCTTGTCGCTCAAGTAAAGAGGGTTGCAAATTCACTTAAAATGTTGGTGTTGCACAAATTTTAGTATGTACCATTGCAAGTTCACTTTTAAACTGTTGCGTGTCACAAGAAATTAACCTATAAAGCACTGCAAAATCATTTAAAAGCACTGATTGTTGCACTTGTAAACAAATTTGTGTATTGCAAGTAAACAAATTCACTTATAAACTGCTGCTTGCTCACAAGTAAACAAATTTGTTTATGAACTGTCACTTGTAAACAAATTTGTAATTCTTTACACATTACCACATAGACCATTGCTTGGTGCATGAGAAAATTAATTTGGCAATGAACCATGGATAAGTCAACTTAACTAGTTATTGCTGATGCTCAGTAGGTTTGCATTCCATCACCCGGGCAACATCGCGATGAACAGGTGCAGTGCTGTCTACGAGAATTTGTTTAATTGCACAGGGACGCACTGCGCTCATGCATAAACTGCAGGGCTGAACCTGTCGCCCGCTCACTGCCTGGAAGGTGAGGCTCATCAAGCACAGAAAACTTGCAGTGTTACCAAGTCAGCCTGTTTCTTTCTGTATTAGAGCCATTGCATTTTTAAAAATGTGGGGAGGGAGTATTTTCAGCCTATTGAAAGACTCTTTTCCCCATAGACACCCTTTGTATTCCAACTCCCAAAGACACAATAGGGACTTCAGCAGTGAGAGGGGGAGAAACTAGCAGGTCCCACAGCACACAAAAGAGCAGAGTTACTGTAAGCTGAGACACGCTATAACCGAAGTGGCACTCAGGAGAACGAATTACGAAAGAGGTGAGAGATACTGCATTGTCCATAGTAGGATGTGGTTTACAACATGGCAGTCCATGCTTGGCAAGCTTTTCGAAAAGCGCTATACCTGTCCCAACTCAGAGGTAACAGTATAGGCATTTAAATCCAAGACCAAAATGTCAATAACATGTGTTGAAATGGTTTTCAGTTCATTGTAATAAAAATGAGTTGCAATCACTGACCAATTTTAATTAACAAATTATCCACATGCTGTATCCACATTTTGAAGTCAACCCTGTTACTACATGATTTTTCAAATATTACAAAAAAAATGTAACATGAAAAATGTGAGACACCCAAAAAAATAACATTATTTGGACCTATTCAACAGCAGGATGGGAAAACAAATCCATGATCTCTTTCAATATCCTCAATATTCTCTGCATTTGTCAAGCTCAATTTAAAACAACAACAAAAAAGAATTAGGACTGAAAAATTAGTAAGAATGAAATAATAATCATGTATTTTCTTTACTTTATGGTAAAAATAAATGTAGCAATTACAGCAAATCAGCATCTAATCCTAAATTAGATATCTTTGACTGAGCAACATCTTAATTTAGGCTTAATTTGCAACCCTGCTATTTATTATCAATTCATAATTTTTATTCCAATTTTTTTTTTTTTTCATTTCATTTTAATACATTTGGTAACACTTTAGTTTGAGGACCAATTCTCACTACTGTCACACCAATGGACGTTTTGTCGTGTTTTCCTTACTCGTGTGCTCAGTGACCTAGTTTTCCCTCATGCTTGATTGTGTTATTTGGTTCAGGTGTGTGTCGTTAATTATCTTCATTTGCTCCAGTATTTAAAGTGTAGTCTGTCCTGTCCTGTCTTCCTTGGTCCGGTATTGTGAATGTTACCCTGTGTGTTAGACCCTCTTCAGATTGTGGATTACAATTAAAAGGATTTTTTAATGATCTTCGTCATGCCTACGTCTCCCTAACAGCAGCGTTGTGTGACAACTACTAACTAGTTGCTTATTAGCATGCATATTACTAGCATATTCTTTATTAGTATTTATAAAGCACACACTAATGCCTTATTCGGCATGACCATATTTTAGATCCCTTAATCTGCCACATACCTAAACTTAACAACTACCTTATTAAAAATTAATATCGGCAAATTAGGAGTTTATTAAGGGAAAACTTAGTTAATAGTGAATATGTGTTTCCTAAAGTGTTACTATACATTTTATTTTTGATGCAAGGCAACAGTGCTGCGAAAATTCCAACACTGTTATTTATTATCCATTAATAATTTTTACTCCAAATGTTATTTTTTTATTATAATTTGATAGATTTTATTTTAATGCATGGTAACAGTTTTGCAAAAAAAAATAAATAAATCAACCCTGTTATTTATCATCCATTCATCATTTATCCAATTTTACGTTTTTTATTTTATTTTAATTTGATAATTTCTTTTTCTTTTTTTATGTAACAGTGTTACAAAAAATCCAACCCTTCATGTGCCTGAGGTTGTTGACCCCTGTAAAAAGCTCTCAGTGTTTAGGCACTCACCGTCATAGTTGGGATGCACTCTGGGATCGTGCACTCCAAACTGGATGAGGATGGGGATATCATAGCCCTGACGCACCCACTCTATGACGTGCTGAGGAGCAGAGCTGCCCTCATCCAGGGCTGGAAGACTGCATGTCAACACTGCAGTGTCCCCTTTTTTGGCACGGACGTGGACTTCAGCTGCACTTGTGTGATCTAAGATTATGAGAAAATATATGGAAATCTTGTAAATAACAATAAAAACTATACATATATATTTAAACTAGTGACTAATAAAGAGAAGAAGGTTGCTGTGTATATCGGTTGTAAAGTAATTACTGTATAATACTCACTGAATAGGGACAGCACTGCAACAATGACTTCCAACAGAGGAAGAATCTTCAGTAGCATGATGGGTATTCATACAGATTCACATACCTGAAGAACATCAAACATACAAGATCAAACGACAGGCAAACAAACCTCAACCACAGAAAGCATTATGCTAAACGCGACCTGACTAGTGGATATGAGCTAAACCATATAGTATGTCACAAACACATCCACACCTCCTTTGCTTTGCCTGTTCCTGTAATCTCAGAGCACACAGGAGGACTATGGGATCTTATGTACGCATTGTATTGTATATACACAGTAAGCTCAACAACATCTCTGAATTGGACTAATTCATCTATAAACCTAAACACAGTTGAAAGGAAAGGTGTAAAATGAGTTTGACTCCAGCATGTGATGTCTTGAACTCATGAGAAGACGCTCATGACTGTGTAAGCCAGTTAAATTGAGTTTTCCAGCCGTAAATGTGATTAAATACACTGTAACTACCAAAAGCCTCTCTCATTTATTACATATCTATGCAAAATTGAACATTTGCATTATGATCTAATTCCACTGAAAAGCCCTTTGTTTTCAAATATCAATTATATATCCCATATCTAAATAACACACTTACTTACATGTATATATATGACGCTGAAACTTTAATATTGTAAGTGTGAGACAAAAAAACTACATTTTACAACATAGAAAATGCATGTAACACATTACAAGTAATGCCAGTTACGTAATCAGATTACTTTTTCAAGTAACTAGTAAAGTAACACATTAATTTTAAATTTACAAGAAAATATCTGAGCTACTTTTTCAAATAAGTTAGTTTTCACATTTTTTCACTGACAGCTCTCCTGTCCCCATGTTGAGAGAAATTGGGAGTGAGGCGAAGAGGTAGATGCACTTCCTTCAGCCCAAATCTTATTAATTTCACTTGCCAAAAATATAACTTTTGGGGGTTTTGTTATTAAAAATAAATAAGTAAACCACGCTTAGGTGACAAAAAGTAATGTAATGCTTTACTTTCCATAAAAAGTAACCAAGTAACTCAATTAGTTACTTTTTATTGAGCATTACTATATTGTAATGCATTACTTTTATAAGTAACTTTCCCCAACACTGTTCAGGACACTGGTGTCACTTCTTGGCATGTCATGTTAGCTACTCATATAGGCTATAGATACTGATCTACTTAACCTGTGTAATGATGATTTACAAGTGCGAATACCATCAATAATGACCATGTGGGTAGACAGGAAGTTGTGATACCACTGCAAATATGCCCTCAATGAATGCCCGAATGTCACTGAGTCATCAGTCTAACACTGCATGTCTCCAGTAAATCATTAACACATCAAGAAGCAATAGGTCTGTCGGGCGACGCTGGAAATACTAAAGCGTGTGACTTGTGCAAAGGGTAAAGCTAGCGCTCCACTTAGCTCACTGTGAGCCTGTGCACTACGCACCAGCGAACAATGCAAACGCCTGCTCATTACCCCCCACGCAACGAGGGAGAGCCATTCTTGAAGAATCCTGAAAGGGGTCCCACCCATAAGACAATCCCACAGGTCACACGTTTCTCACCGCACACTCGGCTACCAGTCTGTTTCCTTTGCTAGCGTCTATTCAGCCATTCAGAGAACATGTGGTACAAAATCATGAGAACTTGAGTAATTACTTAGAATTTTTGTAAAAATGCAATGCATCAGCTCTATAAACCTGTTTCTCTGATAAAAGCTGGTAGGGAAGTGCTCTGTTACTGTTTGCTGTGTGTTCCCACAACTTAAGCTAATGTTCTAGCAAGGTTTTCTCAAAGTTGTGAACAAACTTTGCTCCAGTAATGTTAATAGAACAGTTGTCTAGACTTTAATAACATTCTCAAAATGTTATTTATACATAATTAATTGTACGTTTTTTTTACTAGCATTCTTGTTGCTATTTACTACTTGTTTCAAAACATTTAGAGAACATTCAAAAGTAACATTCCCAAAATGTTTGCAAAATTATAAAATTAAACTTTCCCTTTTCTAGGCTATAAGGTTCTAATAACTAGGACAAAATGGACATTTTATACATTCACAAAACACTGAGAAATAATGTTTTCAATCTTAATGGGAATGTTAGCCACATCTTAACACCATCCCAGCTAGACCAAAGTCCTACAAAAATTACTAAGCACACAAAGGCTGTCTTTTTGATTTACTGTTGTAGCGGCAGTAAAATCCAATTTCTTAACCTTCAAGGGCAAGGGTTACAGCACTTGATCATTGTAAATCTCATCTAACCAAAGAGCAAACGTTGAATTATACCATTTTCTGTCTTCAAATGACACCAAACTGGGACCATATTGTGGGATATGCTAATTCAAGGCACTGAAAGAGTTCAATTTGGTCGTCCATTCATTCTTGGGGTTTACAAAGGACAGGCTGAACTCATGTCACAAATTTCTCAAAGTCTATAAATCTGGCTGTGATGGGAAGGAACCGGGCCAACTCGAGCGTGAAAGCTAAATATAGACCATTCATTACAAGCTTGAGCTTAATGCAAAAGGATCACCAGTCATTCAATTATTCATATCTGACCTATTCTGCATTCAAGTAAAAAAGGATGACAATGAAACTCAGAAATGTTGTTTAATCAAGCTGGGCTGTAAAAATGTTCTAACGTACCAGATAAAGAATATTAAAGTCAACAAAAAACCAAACTTGACACTAAAACTTTTTTTAGTTCACTATTAGCTTTTGTAACTCTAATTGTGTCTGTAAAAATGTAATAACTTGCACTTCCAACTTTCTTTTTCTGCTGATGTCACTAAGGCCACACATTTAGTGATTGTTAAAGCAAAATCTGCTACAGGTTGAGGGGATGACATATTTTTGTAGACCAAACCCCAGAAACATTAGTATTTTATACTTCTGGTTCCATCGTCCTGATGTTAATGGTTTTTTAAATGGGTTTTTAGTTAAGTGACTGAAATAAGGTCTGTGGTTTACACAAGGTCAAGATATTTTCACGTTTTATTCAGTAACATCAAATACATCAGTAATATTCCCTTGCAATTTTTTTTAAACTTTTACTTGTCTTGAAAGAGGTGGTTCCTAACACGTGGCTAAATGGGACTACAGAGGTTTTCGGGGACATTAAACATTAATATTATACAGGAAAACTTCTATTCACTAGTCGCTTTCACAGCCTCGTTGTGTTTTTTAATCACACTCTCACAAACTATTTTAACTACAGATTTTTATTTTTTTTTTAAATAAAGACTGAAAGAGATGCTTAGTGAAGGTGACACTGAAATCATGTGACCGTGATATAATTTGTTTATAACCATGTATGTTTAAGCTTTTTACCTCTGGTGATTGTATTTAGGCTTCAAAATAATAAAAAAGTAGTGTTCCTTTATGAAGATTTTCATGATAAATGATACGTCAAAAAGCCAATGGAAAACTCCTGTTGTTGTTTTTTGTAGAGGGAACCAGGGTGATGCCACTTTGCATCCAAAAATCTTTACTGCAGAACTCTATATAATAACCCCTTTAAATGTTTAAATTCCCAATTTGTAATATTGTGTCACTGAATATTCTATTTCACTTCATGAAAGTAAAATGAGATTCTAAGGGGGCTTCATGTTGACTTTAAATGAGGCCAAAGATGTAACAAAACCTCTCATAATTGTGCTCCTCTGAGATGTGGCAAAGCAATAAACTAACCTGAGCTTCAAAGAAGCACAGAAAACATTGTAAAGGATGAAGCAAACAAGAAAAATTAAACACTAGCAACCTTACTCTTCAAAAGCTTTTAAAACAGAAGTTGCGTCATACTGTGAAAGCGAGTCCTACTTTACAAACGCATTTGTTCACTAGAGCAAATAAACAGATCATCTACAGCAGCTGGACCTGAAACTCTGAGGCTCAGAGCAGATTCCCTGCTGACGTGATCGCGGATACACCGGAGCTCACGGATTTACTCAGCCAAATGGACTGACCATTGATTTGTAGAGGTCAGAAATGTTAACCGACTTTCCTTATTTTACAATGCTTTAACAATACCCTTTTTATGAACAGATGATGCCGCCAGATGTGCACTTAAAAAAACATCCAAACACATTTTAGAATGATAATAGAGATTTAGCTGCTATCGGTGGGTTGCTTTAGACCATTATAAACCTGTTAATCTAAAAAAAAAAACGAAAGGAATGAGATCACTGTTTGTATAAGGAAAAACATTCAGTCAACCCAAAAGTTGGCCATGAATTTGTCAGTCCTTACCAACATGCAAATTCCTGCAGTGGTGCAAACACAAACAAAACTAACAGAGACAGAAATACGCACGTACAAATTCAAAAGTGTCAAACCCTCAAAAAACGTCATCAGACATTTGGTGAGGAGAGAAAGTGCCATGTCCACCATTGTGTTAATTATAGATTATCCACTGCTAATAATTTAACACCATTGCATATGCAAGCATCATAATCCATACATTGCATGGTGCTATGCATGAATGCTCACTGATTCATGACAGCTGGGATCAGACACAGACTCTCAGCGTAATCCAGGATAATCTGGCTTCAGTGAGCCTGGAAAAAGTGACCGATTAATATCACTGTAAATAAGAGCGATGTCCCTACATTCACTGTGGTGTACTGTGAATTTGACTACCTTACGCATGCGACTGACTCAGGATGTACACGTGAGTCACACTGGGCTAACATTTGACCAAAAGGAAAATCCATTGTCACAACCATTGTTTACACTCAATAAGGATTGTTTACACTCAATTAGGGAAGTTTGATCAATGAAGGCTTAATGAACTTCAGTAACGGCAATACAATAAGAGTTACCTAACCCAAGGAGGGGGGGGGGACAAGATTAAATGTCCAAATACAGGAATGAATTCAGGTTGATTGGGACACTTTTTGCCATCGAAATGACTTGGGAAAAGTGTCCCAATCAACCTGAATTCACCCCTATGTTGTATTGTAGATGAACAGGTCAGAAATTGATCTACAACATCCTGCAAGCATCTGCTGGGTAGATTCTGGAAATTCTGCTCAACCTGCCCCCACAAATCCACTTGGACCCCTTGCAGGGGCAATTAAAACCCTTTAATTCGTCCTCACTGAACTGCCACTGACAGTCAAACGCTAGATAAATCCCCCACTACTCAAACAAACAGACAACAACAACAAAAAATGCCATAATCTACTTTGTATCAATAGAGACAAATGAGCATATAAATGTTGCTTACAATATACTACTTAACTTTGGCAAATGGACATGATCCTGTGCGTTATAATATAAAAACGGATAGATAGATAGATAGATAGATAGATAGATAGATAGATAGATAGTTTAATCACATGATGAAACAGTAGAGTAGGAAAGTATGTAAACCATATAGATGAAGTGTAGAGTGACTGATGAACATAACTTATTAAAGATGATAAGCGCTTAAGTAGCCTACAAGCAACTTAAACATACTCGGAATTAAATAGTGCTGCAATTACCGTTCTTTCGGTTTTAGGATTACACAAACCGGACAGAAGTGTTTTTATTAGCTACACATTACATTTTTAATCTAAATGTTCCTTCTTTCCAACCTAGTCTATCTTAACGAACGGAACTTACAGTAAGTCAGAGTAAACTGTTGTTTATACTCACCTGTATCACGTCATCTATCAGCTGTGGTAAGCAGCGCTGTTTTGCGTTGAAGACAGAAAAATAGCCTACCACGATGAGAATTATTCCAACAGTAAGAATTTATACTCTCTCAGCGTTAATTCCATATCACAATCAATTCTCAAGGACAACTTCTAACATTCTGCCAGTGATATTTCGTTTTTTTTCGTTTCTATGAATGTAGTGAGGAAAACGAAGCGCATAAACTTTGTCTCTATGGGAGGTTTAAGCTCGCGTATCAGCGCACCTCTCGCGTTGAGTTCACTCACTCCTCCCGCTGCTGTTTCACCAAACTAATGCAAAACACGGGCGCGCATGCGCAGAGCGCAGTCAGCGCACACGGAGAAACAAATTGACCAGTGCACACATTTACACATAATCAGCTGTCACGTCTACAGAAAGAATCGGTTTTAATAACAGTTACACTTAAAATGTTAAATGTTTTGCCAGTCGCAAGACAACTGAAATTTAATACAGAAAAACGTTTTATTCATCAGCCCTACATTTTTACAGCGTAGTGTGTTTCACTATAACTCTGACCTCAGTCATAATAATAAAGAGCAGAGGTGTGTCTGATGTTGTACTTTGGTCAAGATTCTAAACTTGTTTGTCATCTGGACACACGGAAATCACTCGTGAGACTGCAAAACCCCAGTAAACTAGTAATCTATGATGACTCGCGATAAGAGCTGGCATAGAATGTGGTGTGGATAAAATGATAGCTTAAGTGGAAGTTTGCCATGGGTGTTGCCATGAATTTCAGTGCAGCTAAACCATATTTAAGTGTTGTATTGTAAAATACAAAACACGTACTACAATCTATTATGCTTTAACTGCAATGAAATGCATAGGATCATAATCCAAGATAAACTTTATCTTTTTCTTAACAAAAATTATTATTACTAATATTATCATCACGGTTAATAATAATAGTAGCCTATGATAAATTTTTATAGGCCTACTATAAATTAGGCTACTATACCGTGTCTTATAGGATCGGATCAGGGTCAAACAGTAGTTTGCGAGCCCCCTAGCGGTGGCAGATCACATGCTATATATAGTGGGTCCAACACTTTCAAATACTGCCCACTAGAGGCCAGTGAGTTTCTTGTGTTTTCTCTTCAGTACAGCGAGCGTCTGTTCACATTCGGAAAGGAACACTACCCTGCTGCATATTTCACAGTATATACTTTAATACTATGTAAAACAGTATGCATTATGCACCAATTAACATTCCAAACAGCAGTATGCTATGTTGCCCTCATTATGTTGCATGATTAATTCTGCAAACTATATCTAGTTTTAAAGTTGGTAATAGAAACTGTAATGAGTCAAAAGGATACACTGAAAAGAAAGATATGAAGGCTGATATTACCTCTGGTTCAGTAACACTGAAATCTGAAGGTCAAGTGCAGCGCCTTGTTTTATTGGATACCCAGTTCTCTGCCTTCTGTTGTACAGCCTACTTCACATTTTGACAAATGCAGTAGTAAATAATCCAGGTATTCGATAAAAGTTTAATATTTAATATTGCTCAGAATACAATACTTATCTTACCATAAAACAGTAAGAGAAGTATGGTTGTACTGTACACCATATAATGAGTCTATTGTGTGTGTGTATATATATATATATATAAACAGACTCATTATATGGTGTACAGTATGTATATATATATATATATATATATATATATATATTAACCCTTCGTATGCTTCACTTAAAATAATTAAATCAATATACATAGATATCAAAAACTATCTAAAAATGTTGACTTTTCATATCCTTCAGTGGATCTCAAAATATAACTTTTTGTTCCCTCAAAAATAAGAAGCAAAAGAAGGTGAATATTAATACTTCCTTCAAACACTTTCAATAAAATGAATAAAACCAGTTTATTCCACAAAAACAATACTGCATAGCAACTAAACTACCAGTCAAAAGTTTGGACACATCTGCTCAGTCAAATTATTACTATGTTCGACACTTCAAAATAATGGTAAGGTCATTAAAATGACAAAATAACAAATATGCAAGTATGGGAACACACATAAAAATATATGAGGAAATGTAGTAAGCAAAAAAAGGAAACAACATAAATATCATAACTGTAACCACCCTTTGCCTAGATTCTACCTCTGTATCCACCTTATTGTTCAACGTGGATGTAAGCTGTTTTCGGTTTATTAGTCGCTGTAGGGAAATAACGAGAAGAATAACAAAGTGCAGTCAATGGTGAAACTTCAGTAAACGCTCTTACGGGAAAAATAATGTGGATATTCAGGACTTCAAGAGGTGCATCCTGGGATACTTGTGTCCAAACATTTGACTGATAGTGTATATACAGTAAATCAGGGGTGCCCAACCCTGTTCCAGGAGATCTACCTTCCTGCAGAGTTCAGCTCCAACCCTGATCAAACGCAACTGAACCAACTAATTAGGATCTGAAGGAGCACTTGATAATTAGACAGGTGTGTTTGATCAGGGCTGGAACTGAACTCTGCAGGAAGGTATATCTCCAGGACCAGGGTTGGGCACCCCTGCAGTAAATAATGCTTCATTACAGATAAATAAATGTTCTAGCTCAGTGGTTTTCAATCCTGGTCCTGTGGACCCACCGCTCTGCACATTTTGTGCGTCTCCCTTATTTAACACACCTGATTCAGATCATCAGTTCGTTAGGAGAGAGATCCATGAACTCAGCTGAGTGTGTCAGATAAGAGAGACATACAAAATGTGCAGAGCCATGGGTCCCCAGGACCAGGATTGGAAACCACTGTTCTAGCTTTTAAAACAATACTTTTTTAAGTTTTATAAAAGCTACGAAAATATCAGCATATTTCTCATTGGCCTTTTATGTATTTAGCTAAATAAATACTCTATTTTGCTTAATATTGCACTTCTGTTTTCTTTAGGTAAAATAAAGATAGCTCAATAAATTAGGGGTCCACCGATATGTGTTTTTCAGGGCAGATGCCGATACAGATTATTACAGATCAAGTAGACCGATAACCGATATATATGTCTGGTGTTAAAATTAAAATGTCAAAATTAAGAATAACAAGGGCTCTGACAAAAACTGCCTTCCCTGGTGTTGGTTGAGTGTAGTACTCCCACACTGTACTTCTTACTCGTATTCCTCTGTGCATCCATCTACAATAAGGGTAATATAAAGTTTCAAAATTGAAACCCGGTGTGGGTGTTTTTATATCACTGTATTTCTGAAGGAACCCGACTGTCTTCAGAAAATTTTGGATGTCATTTTCATTTCATCTTGCATGTAATATCTGATAAAGCAGCGTTTGTGAGTGGAGCGCTGCTTTGTGTACAGCGTTACCGGGGAAACCTTGATCTCTACCACTCCAAAAGCACCTCCTGCTGGCAGAGAATGAGTTTGAATATATATGCCGCCACAAATAAGAGTGTAAGTCTGTGAAACACTGATAGTTTTACTCAAATGATCATGAAGTGACTCTCAGAGGGAGTCGGAGCAGTTCTGGAGATGTTGTTCATGTATTTATGTCCTCATGTACTGATACGACAGAAGCGGAAATCACCGCGAGCGTCGCACACTTTGTATGTGTAGAAAACAAAACAGCGCGTCTGTGCCATTTACATACACAGAGACAAGCAGAACATGCAGGATTCATATTTAAATAGTATTTTTGCGGCTTGATATTTACAGATACTAGTCCATATCGCGACTCTATTTAAGTGTACTGACCTACTTTTGATTAATTCATCCAAAATCATAGATAATATTGAGGTGTTTTACAACTTCAGTGTAACGTTAGTGGATTGTGATTTATTGCAAATTAAACAACGTCTGCTGCTGCCTTACCTTTGAGAGACAACTGATGCGTGATCACTGAAGCAGCTCCAGTTAGCAAGCGCTTTCAGAGTGAGAGTGAATTCCAACTCGTGACTCCCAACAAATCAGATGGGCGGTGGGCGGAGATTGCTTTAGGCCACAGTGGTGAGTTCTGACAGGCTGCATCAGAGCCAAATAGCACGTTTCAAAATTAAGTTATTTTATCGGCTTTTGAAAATGACCGATACCGATAATCATAAAAATGCCGATAATCGGTCAACCCCTACAATAAAGCACAGTGTGCCACAGTTTCTCCTCTAGAGAAACTCTGAGTAAACAGAGAATGAAAGTCTAAAGGCAAATCATGCAACATCTGCAGAAAACACATAAAAGTAACAGCATTCAGTATGACCAGATCCATTCAGTCATCAAAGTCTGGAATGTCATCGTAAGAATAACCACGGTAACCCTTGGAAGCATAATAAGCGATCCGCAGATGATAGAATCCGGGAAGAAAGATCAGTATGCCGATGATGAGAACTGGAATCGTGCGATCTGGGTACTAGAACAAGACCATACATTACTGTCTAACATACTGACAGATATTTACAATACTGCAGTTTTGTTTACTCACCATAACATTAATGTATCCTGCCAAAAGAAGGGATCTAACAACAATCAATACAGAGCCAACCAGAAATAGGAATGTTGCCAGCGCAATAGCCTTGTAGGGTACTTTAGGTGGTGTTTTCTTGAACTATAAAACAGTGTTTATTCATTTATGCTACAAACAATATAATACAATTTAAATATTTTATTGCATCAGTGTTTCTCACCTGTAGGTCAATGTAGCCTTCATCACTATCTGTCAGCCTGGAGTATTTCACATTATTGTTTGGGGCAGCACTGGCTGTGTTGTTTCGACTTGCCATCATGATGATGTTTAAGCTTATTGGCACTTGAAGATAGCAAACTAGCGTTACACCGTGATTATCTGAGAGTGCATCCAGCTTTTGATTTGGTTTATTCTGGAAACCAGAGAGAACGTTTATAATAACTTAAAATACAGTACATGCATCGCAACTAGTGCAGCAAAACTCATGTTGTCTTCAATCACTTTCAGACTATCATGTTTACTGTCTAAATACCAGTCCACATAGAAGTTCCAATACAGTAATTTGATAACATCCTGGTGATAATCTATTGTCTCAAGATAAGTCATTCTTTAATAGCAGCTATTGAATAATTAAAATAAACCCAAGAGGTTATTTATACAGACTGAGTCATAAATCTTGTTTCCGACTGTTTCTGCTTTATAGTTGGTGAGTTTATAGAAGCGTTCGTATACTCACCAGCTCGTCTCTTTTAAGTAATATCATTTCACTAAGTGACAAAATAACAAGGGACGCGGGGTAATTTGATGTCATTTCGAGCCGACTGAGTTGATTTTTAACGGCTACTTCCACAGCACTACGAAAACTTAGCTTTCTTTCCCCTTGAAAACACTGCTCAGTGCTCATCCTTGTGTGGGCCTTCTTCTTCTTTTTTTTCCTTTTTTTCCTTTTTTTTTTGGCATACCGCACTTATCAGTGCATTACTGCCATCTGCTGGTGACTCGGATCAGAAACACTTTCCTTGTCGCCACAAATAGCCGCGTTTCCACTGTCGGGCCAAAAGCGGGCGTGCTACTGCGTGCCAGGGCCAGTCGCGTTTCCACTGTCACTTCCGGGGCTTGATCGTGCCTCTTCGGTGCTTCCTCGGGGCCCAACGGCCTGGATTTTTTGGCCCGACGAAAACCTTGGGCCAAAGCGGGCCAGCTGGGGCTAGAGGAGTGGTTATGAACAAAGGCGGAGTTTCTCTGCGTCTGGAGAGCGTCAGCGCCGGATCATTTCATAAAGTTAACGGCTATAACACCAGCATTAAAGACTTTTAAAATAATTTTAGTTCAAATCTCACTTTCAGACAGCAGCGAGTGTTTGAAATTATAACTTGATCCGATGTGGATTATGATCACGTACCATACAAGGCAGAAATAATAAGCGATGCAAAAGACTATGCACGCTAGCCATTAACGTACGTAAACATGATAAATAGGCCTATGACCGCTTGAAGAAATCAGACGTCAGCTTCTTATTCTCTATCACAATCGTTTATTTATTTATTTAGTTAACATATTTTATCTGTCATAAGTCTCCTCTCGAGAGTTTAGCTACGCGTATGTCATACAAATATAATAATGGTTTTTGTTCGGGAGCTTTTATAAAAATATAGAAATGATCATTTCTTTCTAAATGTAATGTTTATAACTGTGACTACAAATAAACAGAAACAGACTCGACTGAATACGTAGGTAGGCTATGTTCATACCGCTTTATTTCTGGGTGACTAACGTAATTTTCAATCCTGATAAATTAATTCATTATGATCAATGCATGCATCACTTATTATTGTAAAACATATGCTTTTGGATTTAAATCTTTAACAAAGCATGCAAACAAACGGCCGCTTTTATCATGTTCGTTTTGTGATCGCGCTAGTTCCAGTGACTTATTTCTTATTAGTTTTCTGATAACTTCTCTTTGTTGGTGAAACGATGGGGTTGCGTGACGTTGTTCCTGAGAGGCGTGTAAAGGGCATAGCCGCGGGAACGTATTTTGTCCAGGGGGGGCTGAGAAATAAAACTTGTGGGGGAGGGGGGGGTCGAGTTAAAAAATAAAATAAAATAACAATGAACCACAAACTAAGCATTCGTTTTAAATAAGGGATAATACCTTATTTATTTGGCTTACAACGCAAGGCTATATCTTATTCATTTTGTTAATAAAAGTTAGATGTTTAATATCGGTATATGCGAATTTGCCATTGTACTATTTTATGTCTGATGTGTTAAGATAATAAATCACAAACTATGATCGTTTTAAGGTAGCCTGAGGGGAAATCCATATTCATTTTGTTTAGAAAAGTTCAGTTTAATATTGGTGAATTTATCATTGTACTATTTTTTTTTTTGTATAGCCTTTTTTCATTAATAATAATGAGCCATAAGCATTCGTTTAAAGTAAGGGGAAAATCCAAAAACCTTTCATTTATTTGTGTTACAACGTAGGTACATCAGTCTTATTCGTTCTGTTCATAAAAGTTTTATGTTTAATATAAGCGACTTTGTCATTGTAGCATTGCTGATGTTGTGTGTGTGTGTGTGTGTCGCTCTTTCTCTTCTGTCTCTTTGCTATGTCTGTAGAAATGGTCGTTAATTCTTAATTTGGGTACTGCACAGACGTTACAGGCAATAAAACAATCAGTGGCGTAGCAAGTCAGCCCCGGGCCCATATGCAAAAATAATAGCATTTCTTTGCAACGTTATGGGCTTCAACTCGGTTAACTTAACTTGGGCCCTATTGTTGATTTTTCTTAAGTAAATAACGTTACGTGAATCATGACTAGGCTATTCACAAGCTGATTTATGGTATAGGCTAAATGCGTGGAAATGATATTTAAAGTTTTCAAATCCATTATTTGTAGAACGCAAGCACCCAATAATCGCAGCTTTGTGCTTTGTTACTACAAAGTCTCAGCCTTCTGTCAATTTTATGATAAAATACAAACAACAAATGTGTTTTTACGCTCTTTAATTCGTAGTGAGATAATTCGCCTCAGTTCAAGCGGCATATGAATCAATGATGTTTTTCTCTTTAAAATTTGCTGCACGAAATAAACAAATATTTGAATGCATGAAAAAAATCAGAACAATTTAATACAAACGAATGTCTCATGAAATCGATCAATCAGAGTTTTAAAAAACATCAGTAGTTCTGCATTTTATTGCTGTTTTTATGTTAAATGTGAAGAATGACGGATGCCACAGATTTTTTTTTTTTTTTTTGCGGAGTAGCCTATAGGTGGAATTTTCACATTAACTTCATAACATGGTTTTATTATCGTAATTTTGACTTTATTCTTAAAATAGTATGACGTTAATCTTATTTATTTCGTTATTTTTTCAACGTGGCACTAAAATGCTGCCGTAGGCTATTTGTAGCTACTGAATGCAAACACAATTTTGGCACAGCGGCCCAAAAAACAAAATAAAATTAAAAAAGTAAAAAAAAAAAAAATAGTGAGGGAATATTTTAATTGTTTGTTAATAAACGAGTGTTTTCTGAGTCAGTGTTGCACAGATGAATTTGACGAACCTGATGCCATCTCCTCATTGGACGCGCCTTTAGAGAGAAATGCATCTTTACAGATTACATAATGAAAGGGTTTTTGTTTTCGATTTGAATTATTTCGTTTTAAAATAGTAATTCTATAGATATATGTATCATGTCGGTGAAGCGCTCCTGCTCAAGACCAAGACAACAGAAAGCACATCCTGTTTGTTTTCCTGAATTATTTTACAAAAGCACAGGTTTTTGTTGATATTGTTTGTGAGTGCACACAAATAAAAGTAGACACTTTACCATT